TCTTTCCCTGTTCCCCATTATCTCCGCAGGAAATCGGTTCCCAGGAAACTCAGGGTCGCGATGGAAACTGCAGAAACGCAATATCCGGCGGCTCGACTATTTTGGCGTAGCCGGTACCAAAACGAACACGCCACGATAATGGCCGCTGATGACGATCGTTTACATGCGCTCGTAATCGTCCTCGAGCACAGTCAGAATTTAAATATGCTCTTCAGGTTTCCAACGAAGCGCCGCAAGAAGAAGGAGCAACGCGGATCGCAATTCAGCGCCGGGAGGTCGTTGCACGCCAGGCCTGGCCGTTATTAAAATAAATTCATTAAGCCGAAACGCGGGGATCGCGCGAGTTCCCGCACGGGCGCGTCGTAAGAAATTCACCGTGTTGGTAGCGTGCAATTATATTGTCATTAGTGACGTCACGCGCGTAATACAACGCGGCTTCCTCCTTTTTTCCCCCCTTTCCCCCGCACTCTTCATCTTTTCCCTTTTCTCTCCTCTTCCCTTCACCTGTGGCCGTTCGCACGGGGTACCATCGCGGAGGATCCATCTGGTCGGAGATAATCCAACCACCACCTCGTGGCCCTTGATCATCGAACGCGTGTAACGTACGAGATATCGCGTGGTCGCTGCTGTTGCTTCGGAACTCGTTAACTCGTAATTTCCTGCGGGACGCCATTTCGCGCTCTTACGAACGCCGATGAAGTAAACCGAATGCAGGGGGTTGGATACGCGCTGCTTCGTGCAGGGGTTATAGGATTTACGTCCCGGGACGCGAAGCTTTCTCTCTTTTTCCAGGTAATTTCGAATTTTCTACTCCTCCACTCCGGATTTTCGAATTATCGTGTATTTAAAACACTGTTTCGGATTTAATTACGATATTTAAGCCTGTCACTGGTCAATGGTAGTTTTTAAATCCATCGATTTCGCGATTCTTCTAATATAAGCTAGGTCGTTAATTTTTCGGTATTTTCTTTCACTTCCTTCTTTTTTTCGAGTCATTTTCCTGCCATATTTTCCCCTACCGGTTACTCGACTGGTCGTGAGAGGTTCAGGGGTAATAAAGTTTTACGAAACGATACGGCGAGATTTATCGTAAGATGGATGAAAAAGTATGATTTGCATATAGCGCTATATCGCTTCAACGAAGATGTAACGAAGATGACGATAGATCGGTATTATCGCACAGCGGTAAATTACGCGAAACAACGCTTGAAATGATTACGATCTTTCCTCGAGACCCTCGATCTCGATCCTTCCGCGTACCACAGCTCTCAGTCTCGTATACAGCTCGATCCGAAATTATTCATCGCGTTAATTAAGCCGATTATGCGAGTCCATGACATTGTCTTTCCCCGTACGCGTGGTATAGGGACAAAGTGCGCAATAGCGAAAAACGGGCATGTATAAACGATTAACAAGATTCCGCGATTAAAACGGTCACTGGTCAAAAGCCACGCATGCAGCGCGAGAAACAAAAGACGAAAGACTCCGTGTCGCCGATTCCATCACGGCCGATCGATCGATCGTTCGATCGGGATTGATTCGCTGCCCTGAAGCTCGTTAGCGAAAAAAATTCAATGAAAGGTGTTTAATATCGTAAATCGAGGTTGCCGCCGGCGGCGTCGTAAACAAAGAATTTGAAATTCAAATCGGACACGCATTAAGAGGGCAGCACGAGAGCCGGTACACACGGTCGCGAGCGGAATTCACTTTTCGCGCGTAAAAACGGGCCTAAAGGGTCGCTAAGTGCGTCTAATTCGACTCGTTTTCGGTCGGAACGATCGGCTTTACGATCGTCCCGTGATACCCTCGGCCATCGTTCCACCCCGTTCTGCTCGTCTCGCGATGGTCTCTGTCCGTCTGCGGGCTCTTATCCTCGTTGCTCCGGGATTCGAAGGAACGTCCCGATAATACCGCGCGCGACACCGAGGCCGAAGCGCGAGCGCAAGAAAAGCGAGCGTGCAAAGCCATGAAATTATGCAAATGCGCGCCGCTGCAAGGTGTTTGGATAATTGCGCGCACTGTCGGCTCCGCGCAGCCCTTACTTAAAATCACATCAGCGCGGTGCTCCCGGCCGACGACTCCTGCGCCCGCGACCAGCCTCCTCTCATCAGTGTCACCGCCCCATAACGCACACATCCTTCGCTCCGTTTATTACTCTTCTTGTCCCGTACCCTCTTAATCTCCTCCTCTCTTTTCCTCTATCTTCTCTATCCTTTTCCCTACTCTTCTATTTTTCTATTTCTTTTCTTCTACCTATCCGTCAGACAATTGCGTACGAGCGAGCGTTTCCGAGGGAGATAAAGAAAGAGGGTTGTTTGATCGAAGGTACGTATCACGGTTTATGGTAACGTTGTTTTCGAGTTAAGCCGTAATCGTCGGTAATTATTTGCACTGGCTTCGCATTATGCCAAGTTTATGGCGCGTGGATAATCGATACGAGTATTTAAATGGAAGATCGATAGGGCGCCGGTTAATTCCAGGGCATCGGACTCTGTGGGAATATCGTGCAACGTGGAGACATCGTCGAGTTGGGAAATCGAATAAAATCGAATAAATCTGTTACTGTAAAAATCCGAAAATTGTACTCGGCGTTGCAAATTTGTAAGAACTCGTAGAAAGCACGCGGACAGTTCAATTACGCACCTTCATCCAATCGTATAGGCAAATACTAAGATTTACCAACGTCATTTGGTGAAAGCTTGAAATAGAATCGTTTAGAAATTATCTCCATACTTTTACCAGCTCGATATCCGGATTTTTACAGTATCCTATCCTACTGCGATTCTATGAATATCGCGAAATTGCGCGGTTTGAAAAATATCGAGAAATGTATCAGGGTGAAAATATATTACGACAAGTAACGACGTCGGAGTGGATTTCCGTGGATACTCGATTCCGATCGAAAACAAGAAGGCTTCCGTTCATCGCCGTGCGGAGAAGCAGCAATCAATTATGGCTGCAAGGATTTCTTCGTGGAGATTTAGTAGCTTAAAGGCGTGCGCGAACTTTATGCCGCGTAATTTATAAATAACGTTGCGTCGAGATTATACGAATTAGTATAATCAATAGAAGCGTTAAGCGTCGCGACTGTAGTCGTTTTAACGTGTTTCAGCGGTCATTCGGCAGGCCGGAAGTAGGCAACGATAGGGATCGATAGGGATAGAGATTTTTCGAGTTATTTTCTGTTCTTTCCTGCGGTTACTTAAAATCGCGAAGTTAGTCGTTAATGTACTCACTTTCGTTTTGCTTCCTCCGATGCTTCCTGGTTGAATGCTCCCCGTTTCGTAGAATCTCGTGAGGATCTTCGAGACGCATCCATGGGAGACCAGAAGTTGTCGCGATATATCGCAGGGTCTGACGCCGACCAAGGCGAGTTGCACGATCCTCTGACGAACGCAATCGGGCAATGGCCTCCCGTTAACAAACACACCACCCAATTGATTGACTCCTGCTTGACCTGCAACACCAAATAGTTCAACGTTCTCATTTAGACCCTGCTGAAGTTTCCTTAATGTTGTTTTGTACAATAAATGGTCTACAGTTCTTTTCGATGCAATTTGGGGATTTATATGTGATAATTCTTCCTGGGGTAAGAGAAGAGTGAAATTAGGCTAACATTTAGGTCAGGTTATTTTCTTCGTACGATTATTATTTTTTCGCGACTTCTTGGTCAAGCATGAGGCTTGAGATATATAGATAATTCTTTTTCTAACATGGAGAGTGCAAGTCCTTTGCGTCATAGATTTAGTTGAAACTTTGCTATCCAGTTCAAGAAAATATATCGTTATAAGGGCAGCTGTTGATACCGACCAAAAGCAGAGAGCCTTGTTATAGCACACCATAGACGATCCTATTACCAAAACTATAAAGTCCATTAACGTAAAGCGTCTTCGCCTAATTCGCTTCCTCCAATTTTACCATTTCCTAAGTTTCAATCAATTTCAATTTTTGCACAGCTTCAGACCCACGATAAAACCTGTAGCAACGCGATAATAATCGACTCGTTAATTGGAACCTAACCCGTCACTACGCATTCCGCGACACAACCAACGAAACCTTGGAAACGTCACCACGAGTTCTTGCGGTGTAAGAAGAAGCGTCATCATCCAGGCGACAATCGCGAGAAGAAGCATCGGTCGCAGACAAGAAATGATCTAAGCTCGACGAAATTGAATCGTTAAGGAAACGGGAGACCCCAGGTACGGCGAAGGCGACGCGACGCAGGTGCGTTTCTTCGACTTCCTTCTGTCTACCAGCAGCGATAATCCGCTAATGCTGCGAACGCGGTTTTTGGGTGGAGCGAGCCGGGCAGATGCGTTTCTTCGTGGCCTGTAATAATATTGGCGAGTCGGGTCGGAATGTGGAAAAGTAGGAAGGAGGATCGTTGCTGAAAGTTTCGACGCGTTCGCGTGCAGTCGCCATAGGAAAAGAGGACGTGTAATTATCCGCTGTTCCGTCGGCGGATGTCGGGCGTGGGCAAGAAGCAGAAAAAGGTACGGCGATGCTCGTCGAAATTGTTTTCCGCTAATTTTCAAACATCGCCGGCTGATCCACGCGCGTATTACCGTTTTTACCAATTTTTCACGCACCGTACGCAAAATAAAATTACCGGGGATTCGCCGCGCCTATCTCCGCCTCGCTAACTCGCCGCGCCGTTGCTTTGTAAACGGACACCGCTCATTTCGCACTGTTTTCCCGCGTACTAACTGCCCGATCTTCGCGCAGATAACGCGGTCTGCATCTCTCGATACCACTGATACCGCGACCAAGCTGCGGTAATTCTTACCCACCGTTGGTAGTTGTGTCTCTTTTAATTACTACAAAGTGAGCTTTTGTCCTGACCGAGGGATGTAACGTACCATTTAATGGTAGATCGTACTTGCAACAGCGATTCAACGACCAGGGGGACACAAACGAATGTCGAGTTTTGGTCAAAATGAAGACAGAAAAATGCAAATCGATCGCTGATAGAGGAGACAAAACGAATGTCGTTTCAGTCGTGTTGGCACGAGGAAATTATCTGGTTCACTGGTGCACCAGACACGAAAGAAATTGTATCCTGGAAAGTTGTAAGTGTCGTTTATGCGAAATTACAGCAAGATGCGTAAATAGCGTTATTATACATCGTGGTTAAGTGTTTATGTATGATAATTGATAGTAATTAGCAGCTACAACACGCTAAATCGACGAACGAAGATACCAATTATCAGCCTGTAAATAAAGATCGCTGCGTAAAAAGATTTACAGTATACAGGGTGTCGCAAGGAAAAATTTCGGAGGTAGTTGGTTTAAAGAAAACAATTTGCAAAGTACATAAATACCGAATGCTAAAAAAATAAACTAAAATTAAAATAATATGATAGATGCTCAGATTATTTTTCTAAATTACATTTTCAACCTAAACGAGACACCCTGTATTACAAAATTTTATACAAACTGTAACAGACAACGATGATTAATTTTTACAATTTTGCTAATCGATGATCAAGTCTCATCTCTCGATCGTAAAGGCTCAACGTCGTTAAATTTCCCAATACTCTGCTCTGAATCCTTTCTTTTCTGCAATTCATGTTAAACTTCAACGAAATTCGGAGAACGTGTGAAATAATACAGATAATAAATAAATACGCGCAACTCCTGTCGACTTTGCTTGAAATCATTTGCAGACAAGCCGATCGACGATCAAGAGCTAATCTATTCCATTGAAATAAACGCTGCAACTTCCTGTACGCGTGTCCAAGACGAATTAACCCATAACCGTTCGATTAATATCCAGAAGCCATCTGCCGTGGAAAATATCGCGAAATAAGACGTTTCGCCGCGACTGTGTGATTTAGAACAGGAAGTCGTGTTACCGATAATCGTCGGCAACAAACGCACAGGCCTTGATGAGTTTTAATATCGGCGGAGATAGGCGGGTCGACGAATTCTTTCGATCCTCGATTTCCTCCTTTCGCGTTTCCTTTATTTTATGAGCCACCGAGCTGCTCCAGTTGCTCTGTCCACTGCTTGGACAGAGGTGAAAGACGAGGCGGATCGATGATCGATGAAATCGTCGCCCGCGTTCGAAGATCAAAAGAGGCAGGTCCGTAACCGGAATGAAATTATCATAATTCGTTCCGGACGATGGGTCGTCCTCTTCGAGATTCCACGGTTACGCAGCTACTAAATTGATGATATTCGCCGAAGAAAGACAACTTCGTCGTCCACCCAGCCACCGTTTCGCATAATACTTCATGAATCCTAAGTTTATCTAAGCTTCCGTCAGTTTTGGGGCACAGATAGCTTTCACGGTACCATTCCGACGATTCCTACGTATTTTTGGATATAGTGCACGAAATTGGCATAGGGATACTAGCTACTTTTAACGAAAAAGGTGGACTACTTCGTTAATAAATTTAAAAATAAATGGACGGTGCGAGGAAATAGTTAAAGAATAAGAGAGTAGCTTATTTTTGGGTAAATAAAATATAATGATTATAAATGGAAATGAGTAATTATATTAATATTTGATACTTCCACCATCAGCTCTACTATTAACCTATTTTACCATAATAAATGGTCCATTTAGCTCCGTTCCCTTCTAATTCTTTAGTCTCCTTCATAGCTCGTAGAAGAGTTCCTGTTCTATTATGAATGTGACCAAATCCTTTTTGATAGCTACTATATCTTCATAAGGATTTAAATTCAAAATTCCCTTTAAACGCGACACTTCATCTTTTAAAAATTCTCCCACATAACAATGGTCACACAGAAGCCTCTGTAACTTTCGTAATTCTTCAAATACTGAAATTTCCTTTTAACTATATATTCCCCGGACATCGAAGAATTAACGAGTATAAAAAGAAAATCTAAAATTTTATGTAATTTAAAAATATGTTCGCGTCTTTTGCTTTACATTCACAGTCGAGGCGCTAAACGACCCACCGTTTGAGAACCAATTTTTCCAGAACTAATATTTGGATGAAATAGAAAATTATACTACTTTTTATGCATTGAAAACACATATAACGAAGTGGTAAAATCAAAAGATTATTTGGCTCACTGTGTTAAAAAATATAATTTATAAAATGACGCCTAGACGAGAACATCGCTTATGCGAATTTCGTTCACTGTATTAAAGTATTCGTGAAAATTCTTGCATCGCAAATTACTTTACGTTGTAGGATCTTCGCGGCGAACGTCGAAACGAGATAAAATATTGCATTAAAGTGTAAATATATGACGAGATTGCCGAGTGAGCTTAGCGTTCGATAAATTCAATGATAGCTCGATATTAGACTGAATATGTGTATATGTCTTTATATAAACTTTATACATCGTAACGTCATACAAGCGTTATCCATCTTTATGGGTATAAGCCGAGATTAAACTACTATCGAATTTATTCGGTCGGTAAACGTGCTTGTGTTCACATATTGCATTATTTCATTATTTTCGTACGAAATTATAGTGAAACCAATTTTTTATTGATTTTTTATTATATTTTTCTTTTAAATTTCAAATTATTTAAATTTAATATCTATTTTTATTATCGCTATCTTTCGAACACGTTGATAAAATTTGCACGATTGCGCTCTGATGATCGTCCTACTGTAAATATTCTTTCTAAACCAAGATAATTAGCATTTTCATATTTTCGTTATATCTTTCTCAGTGAAATTTTAAAAAATTTTGTCCAGAATATCGTCACGATATTTGCATGGATATACTCTGCGATTCGTCTCACAGTAAAACTTCTCGCAATTAGCAAATCCAAGATCATTACCATTTCGCATAACTTCGCTGTATTTTCTCACGAAGCTTTTAAAATCTTTGATTTATACAAAAATTTCGTATTTATTTTTACTACCTTTATCTCCAGAGCACGATAATAAAATTTGCATGGGCATACTGCGATATCCATCTTACTGCGAAGTTTCTTAGTAAAGCCAAAATTATTACCATTTCCATATATTCATTATACCTTCCCGCTCAAGCTTGTAAAAATTTTGATTTACAACCATTTTTTATTTCTTTTTATTAGGAACAAAATTTGCATGGCTATATTCTGGCATCCATGTCGCTGCAAAATTTCTCACAATTAGAGAAACCAAGATCATTACCATTTTCCCACTTTCTTACTCCTCTATCCGTCTAAAAACCAAGATTATTGCCAAAATCATTTCTCAATTTTTATTCTACCATCTCACTGAGAGTTTTAAAAAATTTCAATTTATTTTTATCATCTCCAACCTGGGAACACGTGAGAAGAAATTATTGGTGGCCCACCCTGATCTCCGTCTCCGTTCTAAAAATTTCTCAATCTCCTTCGGCACTCCCATATGCTCTCATGTATATTTCTGAAATTTCTAACTCTAATAGACTCCGTCACGGTACCTTTCTCGTAGCTTTGCAACGAAACCGTGGAAACGAGGTAGGCGAGGTCGCGACGAGCGAAATTGCCAGCTTTCGAGGAATCGTAAAATCGTAATGCTCGGAGTAAAAACGTCGATCGATCAGCAATTTTATATCCACGCGTTGAAAATCGCACGACCACGTATCGGACATGGCGGACGCGCATTGAAGCACACGCGGAGTAAAATTTGAGTTACGCCGGCTTCAATGGCCTCCGCCTCTCTCACGGAGAAACGCTGGAACCATGGAAAGGGCCCGGACCCCGTCGGGACATTAAGTCCGCCGTAAATCAACGGTGGCTTACCGTTCGCGAGAGCTCCCTAATTCCCCGATCATTTTCGGTAGCCAATGATTACTTAACGGCATAATTATTGCCGGAATCGAATTTCTGCCATCTACCCTCGATTTCCGACGAGATGGTCTTGCATATGGAGCGCGAAATGCACGAGGATGGATGGATTCTTGCGAAATGGGTATTCGAGTGAAATGCACGGTGAGCGAAAATGGTAATGGCACGCTATGCCACGAGAAAAGACGCCTAATCAGAACATTCTAATTTCCATGTAATTTTCTTGACGAAATTATGAATTAAATTTTTTAATAGGACTTGGATTGTATTTTTGCAACGGAATTTTTTAATGAAAGTTTGTGCACATTTACTGAGGATAATGAGTTTTGCACGGAGTAATCTTTTTACAGCTTTTTG